GGAATAAAGTGTTACTGCTGACACTGGAGTTTGAACACAGATCACCAGAAAACAAACACAGGCAATCCCATTTTGAATAAGTAGATCACGTGATTGTAAAGGCAATGTATATATGGGAATTAGCATGGCATCTAAGTGATCACTCTATGGATTACTATTCAGATCACTACTCAGTGGTTACTTTTCGAGTGAGTGTTATTGAGCAAGTACTATTAGTGTGAGTTTTATTCGAAGGCATCTGACACCAGTATTGTTCAACGGCATTACTATAGTTGTATCTGTGATTACAAAGTCTCTACTGCAATGAGCATTACGAAAGTGACAACGACTATTCGTTGACATTACAAAAGTGGCACTATAAAGTATCTATAAAAAGAATACCTGCTCGGCCCGGTGGCTAGGATCAAAGTGTAGTATCTGCGCTTTGTGAGCTGCCGGGTCGGGTGTCTGTCGAACTCTCTGCTTGCAGAGGGGAACCCGGACAAGGCTCTGCCGAAGGGTAGGGTTTCGTTCAGGGAGGTTGACGGAACTAGCCCGCTTGGACGGGTTTAGATGGGTTTTATTTTTGGCTGGGCCTACGGGCTCAGACATACCCACATTAAAAAGGCCTTGTGCCACATTCAATTCCTGTGGGTGAATTGATAAATACCATTACAAAAGTGGCAACAAGTGTTCACTGACATCACAAAATACTTTTTCTCCATATCTCATTCTCTGATGAAGCTTTAATAAAAGTGAAAAAGTTAGATTAGTGAACATTTCCTATTTGCTCTTTATCTTATCATTTTGTTGGATTCTAATCCATATTTGATATCAATGTATCTGTGTGTGTGTGTATATATGCAAGGTCTCTTCAGAAAGAATCCTCCCATTTTAATTAATCTGAGAATAAATTGTTCATCTTTGATACAAATTGATAACCAAACAGATGAGAAATTAATGTATATGAATGAACATGCACTCTCCCATGGGGTTACTCTGTTAGTAGTGAAAACATTGAGGAACGATTGCATGCATTGTGTAACCAAATGTACATCAAGATTCCTGACACCAGCTGCCATATCTATCTTAACAAGAGTCAGATCAAACCAGAAATGGAGTATTGCTGTCATATCTGGGCCTGGAGCTATTTTGGCTCATTCTATCACTCCAGAAAGTACCTGACTCCATCTGTAGCTCTCTATCTTTACAAGAGTCAGATCAAACCAGAAATGGAGTATTGCTGTCATATCTGGGCCTGGAGCTATTTTGGCTCATTCTATCACTCCAGAAAGTACCTGACTCCATCTGGCAAGCTCTATCTTTACAAGAGTCAGATCAAACCAGAAATGGAATATTGTTGTCATATCTGGGCCCGAAGCTGTTTCTGCTCATTCTATCACTCCAGAAATTAACGGGCTCCACCTGACAGGCTCTATCTTTACAAGAGTCAGATCAGACTAAAAATGGAGTATTGCTGTCATATCTGGGCCTGGAGCTATTTTGGCTCATTCTATCACTCCAGAAAGTACCTGACTCTACCTGCCAGGCTCTATCTTTATAAGAGTCAGATCAAACCAAAAATGGAGTATTGCTACCATATCCAGTCCTCTCTTTCCAGCCTTGACAGATTTCAAAAGGATTTATACAGCTTTGTAGGTAATGAATTCCCACAACTCTACACTGGTGGGCCACCAGTGGCAATGTCAGCGGTCCTCTAGTGGCAGCCATTGGTGGGCTACCAGTGGGCCTTTAGTGGTTTCCAAGTGGTAACATTGCCAGGATGAACATGGCAATGATCTGACAGCAATAAACACTAGTGGTATGACACCCAGTGGCAAATTGGTGGCTTGCATGTAGGAAACCTCTCTCTTACAGATGCAACATTGCAATGTTATCGCTATTTCTAATGAAAATGTTTCAAAAATTATATTCCATAGTACTTCCAGTTCAGAACTTTGTATCTATATTCCCTTTGTATCCAATTTATAAGAGGTAGTTCCACTTGGATAGCTCCTCCCTAAGAGCCACTGCTTTCTGGTAAAAACACTCAAGAAGATGGTTCACTTACCACTACAATGTTAACCTCTACAAGTCTAAGGTCAACCATTATCTATCCTGCATATTATCATAATCTACAGTTCCTACATTGAGAAAACAGCTTCATTTAGTAACGCTCTACCTTGAGTTACCCTTGAGCCTTGTAATGAATGAACATTGCAATAAAAAAAATTCAGCAAGTAAACTCCTAGAAAATGTCATAAATGCTACATTTGAAACATAGATTTTTAGTGAGCATCAAATTGGGATTTTTTTAACTAAATGGACTCTCGTCTATGACTGAACCAGCACCTGTATTCACAGTGAGTTTAGAATCCAGGTTGCATAATCCTAGATAATATCTACTTAAATATATTAGTAACAGTAACAAAGCTATAATGATGGACTTGAAAATATCCCTAGACCAATGTTTATCTTTAACTGAAGTATAAACTGAATTGATTTTGATTCAAACCTTGGCGTTGTGTAATGGTTAGCAAGGTTGTCTCACTAGATCAGTTACAACTGAAAAGTGAGTTCGATCCTCACTAGATGCCCCATACTTTCGGCCTTGTGCCACATCTAAGCTATGCTTGGAAAATAATTATAAACCAGACCAATTTTTCTATCTTGACTAAAGTATAAACGGGACTAATGTTTATATTTTGACTCAAGTATAAAGTAGACCAATTTTTCTATCTTGACTCAAGTATAAATGGGACTAATGTTTATATTTTGACTCAAGTATAAACTAGACCATTATTTGTATCTTGACTCAAGTATAAACTGGACTAAAGTTTATATTTTGATTCAAGTATAAACTAGACCAATGTTTTATCTTGACTCAAGTATAAACTGGACTAATGTTTATATTTTGATTCAAGTATAAACTAGACCAATGTTTGTATCTTGACTCAAGTATGAACTGGACCAGTGTTTGTACTTTGACTCAAGTATAAACTGAACCAATGTTTATATCTAGACTCAAGTATAAACTTGACCAATATTTACATTTTGACTCAAGTATAAACTAGATCAATCTTTATACCTAGCCCAGGGGTTCCCAACCAATTTTGGGCCATGCCCCACTTTCATATTTCTAAAATTCTGGTGCCCCCTGCCATAATATTTAATTCTTACATGTATGCCAATTACACATGTACATACATACACACAAAATATCTTTATGTATGTCTACTGTATATTTATCATATGTATTAACACACATTAACATTAACACTCTCATTCAAACTCACTAGAAAACCATTCACTGTTAATAACTCATTCTCAAAATGCCCCCCTTATTCTGTTGGTATGTAAGCCAAAGAGTGCACATCCTATGCATGCTCCACCAAAATATGACCATACGCCCCATGCAAGGAATCATTAATCTAGATTCAAGTATAAACCGAACCAATGTTTGTATTTTGTCTCAAGTATAAAGTGGACTAATGTTTGCATTTTGACTCAAGTATAAAGTGGACCAATGTTTGCATTTTGTCTCAAGTATAAACCGAACTAATGTTTGCATTTTGTCTCAAGTATAAACCGAACCAATGTTTGCATTTTGTCTCAAGTATAAACTGAACCAATGTTTAAATTTTGACTCAAGTATAAACCGAAGCAATGTTTAAATTTTGACTCAGCTATAAACTGAACTGATGTTTACATTTTGACTCAAAATGTTGATATTAAATAACCCAGTGTTGACATATCATTAAATTAACCAACTTAGAAAAAATGTTGACATTAAATAACCCAGTAAATGTTGACATGTAATTAAATTAACCAACTGTGAGATTTAAATGAAAA